GTTAGGCCTAACCTGATATTTTGTCCTAACATTAATTCTGATAATGGTTGTAGGCCTATAATTTTGAGTCAATAACTGAAACCCGTGATCGGACCACGGTGGCCTATACGTGGGCGACACACAGATTGTCAGGTCTGGTTAATGGGCCTCAATCAGAAACTCTAAAATGTAGCCTATTAGACTATTAGAAAGTCTAATAGTCAACTTTGTTACAATGTCAATGTCATTTGTCATTTTGTTTTGCCCTGTCAAAAAAAAACAAATAGATTGACGGATAGTTGGCCAGGGAACCATGACGAGTCCACAGATTTGCACGCGCCCCCACCCTCCAGCCAGTAGTCCAAACAATATTTGGACTAATTTACAAATGATTATTACTGTTTATTGGAAATTTACAGATAGGCCTATATAAACAACAAAGAAAGAAAACCAGATAAAGACTCAATAAATTAATATTAAATCGGAAGAGTCTGTTGCTATGACGGCTGTAATGTAGTTTGTAGATCGGGAAGAATCGTTTGAGACCTCCGTGAGACTCGAGACCGGTGAGTGGTGCAGGTGTCGCTCATTATCAATTACTCCACCGGCCTCGCTCTGTTCCCACAGCTCTCAGCCCCGCCCCTCTCGTCACATACCCCCATCGCCCCTCGCAGGCCGGGGGTACTCCCGAGACTGCGCTCTACTACAGTTATCGGATTAGTGTATATTACAACACAGTTAAAAGATTGACACCATTGTTATATAGGTGAAATGTCTTAGCAATTAAGGATTTTTTTTTTTTTTTTTTACAATGATAACAGAAGTAATACATTCTTCTTTCTGGTTTACAGCATCACCATACCATGTCGAAGAGGGGAGGGGGGCTGAAGAAAACTTGCCCTGCTTGTAAGGAGAAGATTTTTAATGGATTTAAAATGTGCCCTAACTGCAAGGCCCCACAGCCTAAAAATCGTAGATTAAAATAAAAAAATCGAAAAATTTGAACAAAAAAAGGACACATGGGTAGCGAACAACAAAAGAAATCAGGTGATCTCCCACATACTGGATGATGCAGTCATTTTGGTAAGTAACAATTGTGCTATGTCACCATAGTAGAAATTATCTTATCAAAATGACATAGGTCCTGGTGGCGTGCAGTGATTTTGGGGTCTTTGAAATGCATGTATTTTTTCAAATGGCAGGTTAGCGTTTCTTAATTGGTGCTATCACTATGCGGGTTAGTGGCAGTTTTACACACCTTTCAGGATATATATTTGACTTTCTGATTCTGAGACAAGATTATGCATCATATTTATGGAGGCTATTTATTCAACAGTTTGAGCATCTTAACTTTACCCTATTATCATTTAAAAATGTTGCAAACATAGACCAGAGACTCTCAGGATCAGAGAGCTCTTCACAGCTCTTCATATCAAGAACAGTTGACTTTTCCCTTGTGAGCGGCTTGCGCACGTGCCAGTATGTTAGCACATGTCGTCCAGTTGACATCAAATCTTGTGGGCGGTGTAGCGTCTCGACCAATCTGACACACTAATTTTAATTTGATTTAACAAATCAATTATTCATTAGATTAACAAATCGTCACAGTCCCCTCACTCAATAAACTGGATGCCAGGAGGTGTGACATGTGAACTGAACTTAGCCAATAAGACAGAGGTGCATTAGACAGCAGACCAGCAGAAATCTTATTATGCTACCATCTGACCATGTCAGTGAGTGAGCATTCACTGTCCACTGCTCTGTCATTGTGTTTTGTCAATATACTGTCTTCTCTTGTGATTTGTCAAATAAGTACAGTAGGCTTTGATCCTAAGATTTTCATGTTGACCTGTATTTGTGTCCCAACTTTGTGATATGCACACAAAGATCCATACACACCACACCAAAGCACTTGTAATTGTTTTTAATGTTTTTTTTCAGATAGAGAAGCTACACGCAGTTGGCTGGAGGCCTTTGCTCTTGCTTGCCTAAAGATCTGGCGTTGGGTGTAACTGTCAACAGACATGTTTTCAAAGAGATGTGGATATTTATATTTCTGTTAATTTTAGTTCATTTATTGTTTAAAAATATTTGACTAAAATGTATGAATGTGATATTCAAGTTAATAAGTACAGCATGTATTCCCTTAAAATGTTTAAAGTTAGGGGTTCTTTAAGAAGAGTTACTATTGAAGCGTAACAGGTCACATGACCAGGTTGAGTTGACCGCGGGACCGTTGCATTATGGGTTGAAGTAACATGGATGCAGAGAAACTAATGGTATGCAGAGCCTGAAAAAGAGTACCTTTATCTGCATGGTCCAAGAGGGCGCACACGGTAATTCATCTTTAAATCTGTTGCATTTTGTGTATAGTGTTATTTTATATCAGTTTACGTAAACAATGTTACGTGTAAATAGCGATGTCATTGGATTCTGATTTTTTGCATGTGTTCACTTGTGTATCAGCGGACATTTACATGAGAGACTTGAAAAGGACTCGACCTAAATGTATATTTTGAACATCATATGCTTTATTTCTTGTAGTTTTCACGGTGTCTGCTGAAAAGAGACAGATACAAAGAGACCAATAAACAGCAAAAAGACATCTGTATGAAGCGTGGCTATCATTTCATGAGACCAGTGCAGTTACATTGGGCACAAATGCACAAATGTGCGTGAAAAACATCCATGAGATCTTTAAAATTATGGTTGAAGGTGAGACTATATTTAACATATATTTTAAAAACTCATTTCAATTATTTTTATATTATTATATAGGCGTAGATGGTGGTGAGCAATGGTTGGAAATAGTGAGGGCAGATATGCTTCTCCGAGTATCTGAGGCGTGTGGGATGTAGGTTTATTTTGCCTTACCTTTAACATTTTGACCTAATTGCATATTGTACATTTTTGTGTTTGTACTGTTCTAGGAAATACAAACCAGGCAACAACCAGTAGCCAGTGCAAGGAGATAAAGAGAGGTGTAACATGGGCTCTTTTGGACTCGTTGAAGACCAGTCTTACCGCTGCATTCTGAATCATTTGTAGAGGTTTGATTGTGCTTGATGGAAGTCCAGCCAGAAGAGCATTGCAGTAGTCCAGCCTAGAAATGACAAGGGCCTGGACAAGAAGTTGTGCAGCATGCTCCATTAGAAAGGGCCTGACCTTTCTGATGTTGTGCAATGCAAACCTGCAAGATCGAGCAGTCTTTGCAATGTGGTCTTTGAAGGTCAGCTGGTCATGAAAGGTTACACAAAGATTTCTGACCAAAGTCGATGGGGTAATTGTAGAAGAACCTAGCTGGATGGAGAAATCATACTGTAGAGTTGGAGTGGCAGGGAAAAAAAGAACGTCAGTCTTTGCCAGGTTGATCTGTAGGTGATGTTCTTTCATCCATGCCGAGATGTTCGCCAGGCAGCCTGAGACCCGTGCAGCTACCGTTGGATCATCTGGTTGAAATGAAAGATAGAGCTGTGTGTCATCAGCACATTATAGAAGTGGTGGGAGGTGGTGGGAGGGGGACAGAGGAGAAAAAGTTTTGAAGAGATTACGTGTGTCTGGAGCGCTGTTGACAGATGACAGGCTACAAATGAAATGGTAATGGAATACACTGCAGATAAACAAAATATCTGTGCACTGATTTTTAAATGCATCCATGATAACATGTTTGCACAAATAGAAAGTAGGCTACTTTAATTTGATTATGATTAAAGACTATGTTTTATGAATTGGTCTCAGAGTGTGAGGAGTCCTTTGGATTACCTCTAAGTTATCCCAGACAGGTGCTGCTTTTAGCGCAAAATATTCTCCTAAATTGGCCTGTTATGAGCTACTTTTAGCCCTAGGGTTCTTTGTGAATATAGCCCCTGATTGTATATTATGTAATCTGTGTGTACACTTTTGAGAGACAACACTTACTCTCCGACCATTCCTCAGATTGGACAGCCACCATGTGTCTGGACCAGGAGGTTGGGACTACGGACGGTCCAGAATCAAATCTTAGCCCTCTTCCTACAGGACAAGGTGTTGAAGTGTACAGGCCTTCTTACCATAGCCTTGTTATTCCAGCTCACCGTATGTTGTCAGTAGGAAGAAGAACGAGAAAATGTGGTATAAAATAGACCAAATAGTGAACTGGCAGCTAACGTTAAATTAACTAAAGTTAGCATAAGCTGCCAGTTTGCTATTCTCAAATTTTTCTTCCAACCTACAGCACTTGGTGAGCTTGAACCACAGGGCTCTGGTTTAAGCTCTTTTTTCCAGATCTTTATTTTGACCTAATTGTATATTATGAGACAACGCCATCTCTCCACTCATCCCCAGATTCCACAGCCACCACGGTTATGGACCAGAAGGCAGGGACTACGGTCGATCCAGAACAGAATTTAAACCTTCCTCCTACAGGACAAGGTGTAAAGCTCTTCAGCTTTTTTTTGTGTTCTTTATCTTTTCAAGAATATGCTTGAGCATCAAATCTCTATATGTACTGAACCAAGTCTATTTGTCTATCTAGGGACAAGACGAATTCGGAGGAAGAAAGGTGAATTTAAATGTGACAAAGCTAATATTCTGCCATCTTTTACATTATCAACACATTCTGTCGGGAGAGAGAGAAGCCACAGCGTGTGAACGCGCCGCCATCTTGGATTTTCTGCATAGTGTGCATAGTGTATACATAGTGTATATAGATGCATTTACAGATACCCGAAGTTGTAGAGTTAAGCCACACCAAAAATATTTATTCTCTAATTTGTGTTTGATTTTTAATTATTTTCTTTTTGGCTACATTTGCATTTGGATTGTCTTCTATCACTACTGTATGTACTTATCTTACACAGTTGGAACTAAACAGAAAGATTGCCCCCACAACAACTGGGAGGTGCACCCATACAAGGGCATAATCCGGACAAGGCAGAGAAAGGTAGGACTGCAGATGCTTAATTATGTGACAGTTGCTATACTTACAGACAATATTGCCTCCATGCAATCAGAATATGGAGCATAATTCTGTTAACATCTTTAATTGTTATTCGGAATAAATCTGCAACCCCATTGTGTTTATAAAAGCTTAAAGCAACATTCATTTTTTCTCAGCCACTAAAGGCTCCTTCACACTTTTTGCAGTTCATATAACTTTTTGCAAACCTTTCACATGCTCACACTACAAGAACTACTTGGGCTTATTGTATATATAGTTGCTCTACAGTTCCTATAAGTGTTTTAGCTCTTACCTTGGGGTATGGTCTTCTCCCTGGGCTTATGAACCATGACTCACAATTTCAATTGATTAGTCAAGCAGCACAATAGCCAACTCGGCCAAGGCAGCAGAATTACTATTTTCTAAATCCATGTAGCCAACATTACAGATACAGTAATATAATTGTGTGTTACAATATGATTTATGCAGATTTACCCTTCCAGCCTGAACAGATCGGTGATCCAGCAGCTTTAGAAAGGCATGTCTTGACATTGAAGAAGCAGATACCTTCATGTATGCAAAAGCTTCAAAGATATCAAAACGATACAGTGTCTGGCAGCTGGTGGTGCTTGGCCAGTAACGGTAGTTCAGAAGGTCTTTCACCCCCGGAGTCCATTCCGCTAAGCAGGTAGGGCAAACCTTACGGGGCAAACAGACATCGTATCGTCCTGTGAAAAAAGAGACACATTGGACTAAGTATGTTTCACAGATCCAACTGTTTCAACTCACCTGTCCATTCTTCATTTCATACAGAGATACAAAGGCGATTGGTAATAGGTAGTATTTAATACGGCATTAACATTTGGTAACTGGTATATTGCTCAAAAGAAAAGCTTTAACTTGTTAAGTTCTGCGGTACTATAAAACAAAAAGCAGGACTTTCCAAACTTACCATCCATGGTGACCACTGAAATATGCTTCCAAGTGGTGACCTCAATCTCATGGGTGCACTCACATATTGCCCTCTGTGTGGGCAAGGGCAATCGACATACTGCAATGCAAGAAGTTGTTAAGTTTTTCCTCAATCCCTACAGCATATCTATAGGCTTGTCATATTAGTAATTCAAAGCCAACATCAACAAAATAGATATGTCATTATCACTGTTTTCAAACACAAACCCACTCAAAAACAAACAAAAACTATTTCTTCGGTCAGAGTGATTCAAGTTAAGAGTTTAAACCTTTTCCATTGACAAAGTCTATCAACAAAGAATATTTGTGGAATTACTCTTTACTAGTCAACAAAAAATTGTTGAATGAACATACCCTGCTCACAAAAGTGAGATTGGCCATTGTCATCTAACACCACAGCCTTTGTAGGGGGAATAGGCTCCAAGTAGCCATGAAATGCTGCCTCCCTGTTATGAAACACATTCTTTTTGTGGGCCTCTATGTCACAGCTTCCACATAGAAACTCTGTGTCCAGTGGAACACAATCCAGGCACCTAATGACAGCCTCTCCAGCATTGCATTTGTTGCAAATGTGCTCGATGACTCTTTCAGCTGAGAGTTTGGCATCAAGGAGCACTGGCCTAGCTGTTTTTGCTCTTACATCAGCAAACACCTGTCGTTGTGCCCACACTGTCTTTTTTGTTGCCACCGGATACTCAACTGAGGTAAGAGTACCCTTCAACTCTTGAAGACGTGTTTATGAAAAAAAGGAAAGGAAAGGACATGGCGTATGGCCAAGTATGGTGACCCATACCTGGAAAGTACACACACACACAGCAGTGAGTAGTGAACAAACACGCACACACACACCGTGAACACACACCCGGGGCAGTGGGCAGCCAATGCTGCGGTGCCCGGGAAACAGTTGGGGGATCGGTGCCTTGCTCAAGGGCACCTCAGTCGTGGTATTGAGGGCGGAGAGAGCGCTGGATATTCACTCACCCCACCTACAATCCCTGCCGAACCTGAGACTCGAACCTGGAACCTTTGGGTTACAAGTCTAACTCTCAAAAAAATAACTAAATAACTGTTACACCACCCTTCAACTGAGCGAAGGCATAATAGATAAAATGACTTAATACTATGACAATAATTATGACTGAAAATTTGGCTTTGACTATGCCACACACTACATTAACCGTTCAATGTTGGTTTATCAAGTGATACACCAGTTTGAAGGTGGATGAATAGGAAATGTAGTCATAGGGATAATACAGACATACTCACCAAGACTTGCAGTCAACTCTGGATCTTCAATCTGAGGGACTTCCTCACATACTGGGTTCCCTGTAACTTCAGAAGCTGCAGAGGCCAACACATTTGGTTATCTAGTCTATCAGGGTCTTACATTATCATCTATTTTAGTCTAGAAAATTCACGAAATTTCATCATACATCTGTCAAAGTGGGCTCACACCATCTTTCCATCCACCAACATTTAGTGAATTATCATTATTGAACTATGACAACAGTGCAGTAAACAACAAACCCAATGCAGGGCTTTGTGCTCTCTGACGTTTCTCACGCCTGCTTGTGACCGATTTCTTTCTCCTAGTCCTCTTTCTTTTTTGAGGAATGGCAGAGCTTTCCATTGCCATTGCAGCCTATATGAGAAAAAAAATGTCTGCAAAAAATTGCAATTTTCTGCAAATACAATATCAGCCTACCTTATGGTTATTTCAAAGCAACATACAATAAAAAAACACCATGTTACAAAATAGAAGAATAGTGCACAACGTTCAAAGGTTAGTAACAGTCAGAAACATATCACACTACACCAATTCACAATACATGACTAGAACATCATACTTCAACAACAACTACAACAAACAAACTGTATGCAATATCAATAGTGATTTTCATAGACATGGGAGTAAGTTGATCAAAATTTGTCTCACCTTGGCCTCACGGAGAAGAGCATTACTAATTTCAGCAGCCATATGGCCTGTAAGGGAAACAGGTCAATTTAGCTCAAAGGGAATCATTTAAGATTTTAAAGGGAACTCCACCAATAATATGTAAGGGAATTAGGACAGAATCACTGTTTTACGGCTGATCACTGAGACGGCCAGCGAGTCAGTGAACGAGCCGTATGACATCAATTCTGCAATGGATATTTATATCCAAAATATAGTGAAAACACTATGTTTCAAGCATGAATTCTCAAACTCACACATACCAAACCTGAATACGAACCATTAAGCGATTCAATAGTTATTAAAAATACATACACAATAAATGATTAAGACCTGATAAGTCACATGTGGGTCACATACATAATATGGAGTTAGGCATAGAAATAATTAGTTGCTCAGGTCCTTTTAGTGTCATTTAGATGCATATTCACATGGAAATGCAGTTCCTGTAGCCATTCTGTGAATGTATGAAGACCAGAGATTAAGAGGTCTGTAAGGAATCTCTGAAAGTCTGTTCTTTGTCTTAGGTGGGGGGAAAAGTCAATCCGAAGAGCTTGTGATCACTATCACATGTTTCCATTTGATGGTCACGCTATGCATCTCTTTTGACCATTATTCTTGATAACTTGCTCCAAAATTGACAATCTCATTGGAATTGTCAATAAGTGTTCTTTTGTTTAAATGCTGTGAGCTACTGGACAGTGCTTTTTTTCCCTTTTATGTTTTCCTTTTACATGTTGCGTAGCCTGAATTATTGATTTTGTTTCTGTGTCCTGAAATGCCCATTCTAAACTGCTCAAGCATTATTGCAACTAACAGACTCAAAGTAATCCCCAGGATTAAACCGACACTGGTGCAAACATATTATGTTGTGACAGCAACGTCGTTTGGCGCTGTGCAGGAATAAACAAGGTGGTGTGAAGAAATCAATAACACGGGCTTGAGATACCTACCGATCTGTGGACGGTGATCCTTGCAATGACTGGAAAAACCTTGAAATTCTGGGATGCGCGCGAGAAAGTGTGACGTGTCGCCGTCATGGCAACAGACCCTTCCGATTTAATATTAATTTATTGAGTCTTTATCTGGTTTTCTTTCTTTGTTGTTTATATAGGCCTATCTGTAAATTTCCAATAAACAGTAATAATAATTTGTAAATTAGTCCAAATATTGTTTGGACTACTGGCTGGAGGGTGGGGGCGTGTGCAAATCTGTGGACTCGTCACTGAGTTCCCTGGCCAACTATCCGTCAATATATATATATTCTTTTTTTGAAAGGGCAAAACAAAATGACAAATTACATTGTAACAAAGTTGACTATTAGACTTTCTAATAGGCTACATTTTAGAGTTTCTGATTGAGGCCCATTAACCATGAATGACAGACGAAGCTTAGGCCAAATTATTTTAAATGAAACAACATTAGGGTAGCTACAAGCCATTGTGTGAGACCTGAGGTTGTCCGTGTGTCTACGACGGAATACTCCGTGGTGCCGCCACAGAAATTCACAATAAGCAAAAGGCTACAAACTGATCAAACTGAATTATATGAAAACAGGTAGATGAGAGGTTGACAGATTAATTGCCATCGCAGACACCGTCTTGAAGACTTCAAGTGTCAAAACGAACAAACTACTTTGGCCTATAGCCTAAATAACGTCCAGTGAGGGTGAAACTGTGGTGACCACGGAAGATTGAGCTTGAGCCGATCAGAGGAAGCTAGCGCTCAAATGACTACAGAACAATGCTTCGGGCATGAACTATAATGTTTGATTATAAGACCTCTTATAGCATAATTTTGGAATGATCTTATACATTTTTGATATGTAAACGCAGTCTCTGTGCCATTCCAAGAGCAGTGAGGAATTCAGTCCTGTGAGGAAGAGGTTAAAAGGTCTCAAGAGGGAGTCTGGTTTTAGCTCTCTTTCCTGGGCGGAAAATCAATTATTTTTCTTGTGAGAGTCACGATGTGCTGCGTTTTCGAACATTCGACATTCAACTGCCTAAAGTTGACAATGTTTGGATTATCTCATAAAAGCATCCTCGGTTTTAGGAGATAGTTCGCTTCAGACTTGCTGGTGCCAGGGTCCCTTATTTTTGTATGGTCCTCCATGTTGACTTTGGGGTCTCCTGGAATTCTGATTCTTGCTCAGTTTCAGTTCTGATCATGTTATCACTGTTTGATTTGCTCTAAGATCCTACAACTAATTGCGCCAGGTTGGACATGCTTCACTTTCCGTTAACTGAAGTAGTAAATGCTACATAATGGCAAGTGGCAATAATGGTTAAATGGTTATTGGAGAGTGAATCGTGAGTGAATTCATTCAAATTCTGAATGGATTATAGCCTACACTGTAAAAAAAATTCTGTAAAATGTATGGTAAAAAAACGGCAGCTGTGCTTGGCGGAATTTTACCGTAAAAAATACGGTAGCAATGTTTTAGGTTTTAACTTAAATTTACAGTTAAATACCGTAATTTCATTAACTGATATAACGTTAATATACCAACCTATTGAAGTACTGAAATCTGTTTTGTACCTTTGTAATACACTGATAACCACCAAATGCAGGAGGGGATGAGAAAGTCACATGATGAACCAGAGCCCATCACAAGCAGCTTTTAAACATTAATATATATAGAAGCTGCACAGTGTCATTCACACAAACACTAAACACCATCATCGTAACACACATGAACTGAAATAATGCAATAAACATTCATTTAACAACATTAGGTGTAACATACAACTCTAATATACACAATTGATAAGAAAAAACTAAGAAGAAACATAGTTATTTAAAAAAAAAACATCACATTTGAAATGTAACACAGGGAATTCTGGGAATGTCAATTTACAGTTATTCACTGTAAATTATACAGTCTTTTTCACTTCCAAAAACAGTATACTACCATAAAATTAATGTCCAATACATGTAATGTCCAATGCAGTTTTTCACCGTATATAGTAGGGGAATTTACCGTTAACCATTTAACAGGTTTCTACTATAGCATTTTTACAGTCTTTTACCGTTAAATTCATGGTCATTTTTTACAGTGTAGAGCACAAAGAGCGCTCGCCCTTATAATCAGGGGTGATTTCAAACCGTGTTTTTGAGATTGTCTTTGTTACAATGCAGTTTTAAGGAGACAATCCTCAGCAATGATGTTGACTGATGCATTTGCACTGTTTTTTTCTTTATGGATATTAAAAACATATAACACATTAAAAAGTTGTTTTCCACCAAAGGGGCTTTAAATATTAGGTGTCCTGTGGAACACAGACAAAGGCAAAAAGTGACATTCCTTTCCATTTTTATATAAGCTCACCCCTATTTACTAAATTGAATAAGGCCAGTATGGATTGTTTATATGTAAATGTGTCCTACATTTTGAGATCAGGCAATAGATGGTTTCACATGATGCATATTCATTAGAGTGTGAACTGTTTTTCTTTAAGCAGCAGGGTTTTGTACATTCAACTCTCCACTGACCTAATCAAATTTTGCTCAT